TATAAACTATTTTGTTCATTAACTATTTATAAACTATTTTATTTATTAACTATTTAAAAAATAAATTTATTTTATTTATAAACACAAATTATAAAACTATTAATAAAATATCACAGCAGCAAAATAATATTACAAAAAAAATAAACTTATATAGCTTGATAATGTAACCCGAAAAAGTAATCTTTTTTTTTTTTTTAAGTTTTTATTTGGATTTTGAAACAGTTATATATTTTTTATTTTGTTTTATGGTACTTATAATTTTTTGTAGGTTTTATATCTTTTTTATTTTTTTGGTTATTTTGATAAACTCAGAAGAGTTTTAAATTGCGCTTGTCGCTTTAGTTTTTGTTTTTTTTTGTTTTATATATTTGTTTTTTTAGAAGGCGTTCCTCTTGCTTCGTTTCATGATCTTTATGAAATTGTTCGTGTTCCTTTCTACGTTGCTCCCATTCTGCTTTTTTACAATTTATATATCTTCTTTTTTCGTTGTTGCTTGTAGTTCCTCTTTTAAAATCTTTAAATTCTTTCATATTATATGAGTACATCTCTCCCAAATCCATCTTTTGAAATGTGAGTGGTGTAAGTTGTCCTTCACTTTTTTGTATATTTTCAAGCATTTTATAATTTTTTGGGCCCTTTCGTACTGGATCCATTCATATTTTTTGAAGGCTTTAAATTTTTTAAGTTCCTCATCACTGCAATTTAAACGATCGAAATTTTTAAATAATTTCCAATTATAATCTACTTTTTCTAAATGGAGCATATCAAGATATTCCTCAGGTACTTCAACGTCGTCTTCTTCACTACTTTCTTCATCATTATCATCACTATCGTCATTACTATCTCCACTATTATTGTCATCTCCACTATTATTGTCATTACTATCTCCATTGATATTTTCATCCAAAACATCTTTATTACTATCGTTTCCCTTACTTCCGTCTACATCATTATCGCTATTGTTAGTATTACTAGCTTCTTCTTTACTATTAGTTGTTATTTCTTTTTCATTTACAATTATTATTTCTTGACTTGATTTTGGTTGAGGTTCGGTAGTTATTTCGACTGTTTGTTTTTCTACTTCCTCGACATGTTTGTTTGATTCAATTTCTCCACAGTTTTCCTGTGATGTTATAATACCGTGAGGACTTTGTATTTCTTTAAGTGATTGGCCTACTTCTTTTTCACTTGTTGTTTCGTTGGCGTTCTCGTTACCCATTTTCTGACTTGTTATATTTTGTTTTTGTGGGCGACCAACATCTTTTTTCCCGTTGTAGATGGCCCTAACTTCATATCCATTGAGGTTGATAAATCTAGGGATTTGTTTTTCCAAATTGTCCATAATCGCAACTATGATACCGGAGTAATAAAGCGTTTTGTTTTTTGGCGTTCTTTTAAATATAGGTTTTGTTCTAATATGCTTTCCGTACCCTAGCTCCTCTAAATATTTTCCAACCGGAAAGTTGCTTTTTTCTATTGGTAGCCCAAGAATAGAGATTGTTACTTTTTTGCAAAATTTCTACTTGGGGTTGATTGGTGAAATTGGTGAGTTACACCGTTGATGTTAAGTCCTTTTTCAAGGATTGAATATTTGGCTTTGTCATTTTTCATGACAATCTCAATGATTGAGCCGTTACGAATTTGTTGGAAGCCGTATAAGTGTTTATCGTATCCGGCTTCTTCAATGGCTGATAGGATCTCGTTATCGCTAAGTTTGCCATTTATTTTACTTAGAATGGTATTTTAAAGGACACTGAAGTCGTTTGTAATATAGTTATTTGTTGCAGCTTGCGCATAAGTTTTACTTGTAGCCTGCGCGTAGCTAATGGTATTGGCTGTAACAGCCATAGTGTCAGTATCTATTTCCATGGATGTTTTTGGTTTAATTAGTAGCATGGTAAATAGTACTAAGCGTATATTATAGACTCTCAGACACTCGGAGGCCAGTAGACCTCAATTAGAGGTCTAACCAACCTCTTAAAACTCACAGTCACTCTGTTAGTTTCATTGAGGTTTACAACCTCTATAGCCTCTCAGTCACTCAATACTCACTAAAAGCCAGTAGACTTTTTTACCAAAAAAAACGCACACCTTAGCAACCCGTGGATGGGCAAGGTAACTCTTATACATTTATTTATTTATTTTTTTTTATTTTTTTTTCATTTTTGCCGTTTAATATTACAATAACTAAATATATTTTACAATTTTTTACATTAGTAACGACAGGACTTCTAGAAGATCATGAGGATCTTGTCATGAAGCCCTTTACAATATATGGTTAACTTTTAATAAAAATACAATGTCTGTAGTGAAATAATAATACACCTCTATGCAAAAATATTTAAAAACCAAGATAAAATGTTAAAAAGTCAAGATAAAATTTTAAACCAAATAATATACAAAATAAAACAACAACAAAAACAAAACAAAAAAAAAGGCAATTAAAAATAAATCAAGATATTTTCAATTAAAAATATAATTTTTTTAAGTTTCTGTTTGAATGAAGCAAAAGTCATTTGGGTTGAAAAATCAAAATTTGGTAAGACTATTTTGTTCCAGAGATAAGGACCTCGGTAAGAAACAAAAAACTGGCCGTTGCTTTTACGACAAAAAGGGGCAATAAGACTGTTATTAATTCGAAAATTATATTTGTTTTTAGGTTTCATACAATAAAAATTTTGTAATACATTTGGCGACAAATTTTCTCTACATTTAAACATGAAACATAAAATATTAAAGACATTTAGTTGATATACATTTAAAATATTCATTTCTTTAAAAAGTTGTTTCGTGTGAAAAAACCGATTTTTAAAATTTATTACGCGAGTTGCGTGTTTCTGATGAAAGTAAAGAGATTTTAGCTTTGTTCTGTGAGTGCTTCCCCGTATAATATTCGCGTAGTTTATATGACAATGTATAAATGAATAATATAATTGTGTTAACTGGTGTTTACTTAATATATTTCTTGCTTTATAGAGTAATCCGATGCATTTAGCAATTTTGTTGGAGGTATTATCAATATGATTTCTCCAAGATAGGTTTTCATCAATATATACTCCAAGAAATTGAGTAACTTTTTCTCTTTTTATTATTATATTATCAATTAGAAGGTCTGGCATGATATGGGACAGTTTCTGGTATTTTAAAGGTGGATAAAAAAGTGTACATTTAGTTTTTTCTATATTTAGAGACAATCTATTTTGTTTAAACCAAACAGAAACTTTTTTTATTTCATTTGTCATATTTGTAAAAAGCATATTAATATCTTTATGAGACAAAAACAAATTTGTGTCATCTGCAAAATTTATTGTTGTTAAATTTGATGATTTATGAAGATCATTTATGTATATTAAAAAAATAAGAGGACCAAGTATGAATCCTTGTGGAACACCACATGTTATATTCATTAATAGATGAGATATAGAATCTTTATTGTAAACAAACTGTTTACGGTTAGTAAGATAACTTTCAAACCATAATAGGGTTTTATCTTTAATACCATATGATATTAGTTTTTTTAACAGGATTTGATGATTGACGGTATCAAATGCCTTGGACAAATCAATAAACACTCCTAGTGTAAAACAAGAGTCTTTAAATGAGTCGGTTATATTGCGCGTAAGTTGAAGAATGGCATGCTCGGTTGAATTATTTTTTTTGAAACCAAATTGGTTTTCGTATAGAATTTTATTTTCAACAAGATAAGAGTAAATTTGGTTGTAAATTATTCTTTCTAAAATTTTTGAAAAAACTGGAAGAACTGAAATAGGGCGATAATTTGTTATATTTGTACGATCCCCTGTCTTGAAGATTGGAGTTACTTTCGCTATTTTTAGTTTATCTGGAAAAGACCCTTGTGAAATGGATGCTCTGAAGATTTTATAAAGAATATCTTTTATAACATCGTATGAATCAATCACAATATTTGTGTTAATATCATCATACCCAGTAGCTTTATTTCGTTTTAATGACTTAAAAGCAACCTCAAATTCATTAAAAGCTAACTCAGTAAAATTTAGATTTAGACTTATTGATAATTCGAACTCGTCAACAGATTTATCTTTAATGAATGAAATACTATCGCTTAGTTTTGTCCCGACAGTGGAGAAAAACTTGTTAAATTCAAATGCAATATCATTTGGGTCATTTATTGATTTTTTTTCAATTTGTATAAAATTTGGGAGTAAATTTTTATTTGGTTTAAGTTTTCCAGACACCTCCTTCATGATTTGCCAGACGCGTTTTGAGTTGTGCTTATATTTATTAAGCAAGTTTGAATAGTAGTTTTTTTTTGCATTTTTGCGAAGCTTTTCAAATAAGTTTTTATAAGTTTTATAATTTTGTTTATGTTTTTCTGATTTTGATTTTAGGTATTTAATGTATAGCTTCTGCTTAATTTTTGATGATTTTCTGATACCTTTAGTAATCCAGGGAGATGACATTTCTTTATTGCTTAAAACTATTTTAATTAAAGGAAAGTTGGAATCATACACTTGGTAAAAAGTTTTGAAAAAATTGTCGTAGATTATGTTGATATTATCATTAAAATTAATATAACCCCAATCTATATGTGATAATTGTTCTCTGAAAGAATTTAAATTATTATTGTTGATAAGCCGTTTTTTTATTAATAACTTTCCCTGCTTCTCTTTTTTTAAATTAACACATCGCGAGGTTAGAATTATTTTGTTCTATCTCCACATTTTTTTGTTTCGAGATAAAACGATTTAAAAAATAAAAACTTTAGGAGACGGCATATAAAAAGATTTTTATTACTTATGTTTTCTCCGAAACTTTTTTGATTTTAACTTAGGTTTTAGTATAGTAGAAAAACATTATTTTGAGGTACATTACACAATTAATAACTAATTTTTTTCAAAAAGTGGAGATAGAACAAAATAATTCTAACCTCGCGACATATAGAAAAAAAAATCGGGAAGTGATCGGGAAGTGATCGGAAACATCGGTTTTTATAATTCCCTTTTTAAGCGACTTATTAAAAAAATCGGTTGTTAAAATGTTATTAATTAATGATGATGAATGACTTGTGATTCTAGTCGGGCGATTAATTAAAGGTATTGTTCCAGTTTCAAATAAACCATTAAAAAATTTTCTCGAACTTTGATTTTCATAATAATCAAAGGAGTTTATGTTGAAATCCCCGATCAAGTAATTTTTTTTCTTTTCAAGATCAGTTTTCTTTATTATGTTATTTAGTAAAAAATTGCCAAAGTTTTCAATTCTTCCAGTTGTTGGCCTGTAACAACAGCTTATTAGTATATTTTTTGAACGCTTATTTATAAGTTCTATTGTTAAAATCTCTTTGTTTTCATCAGAAACACAAACACTCTGTTTGTTTTCATCAGAAACACAAACACTCTGAAATACAAACACTCTGAAGGCCAGTAGAACATCAGAAATACAAACACTCTGAAGGCCAGTAGACCTTCTATATACACTTTAGGACCACTAGCTCGCCCAAATAAACTAAAATCAAGAACAGATACGTCCGGAGTGGACGGAACGCTTTGAAATTTCCGGACGTAGAAGGAGACACTGAAAAAGCGACTACGCCAAGAACCTCTATCGACTGTCACGGTTTCGATCTTGTGCTGTTTCTGTTTTCTAACAACACCGTAACCAATTGTGAGATGGTCCGGAGCCGAAATAAGAACAGATACTACACTTGATCTTAGCCATAAGGCCGAGAAGCGATCCGAAAAGAAGAGGTCCGAAAAAGTAATCTAAGCTTAATGCGTTTAAATAATTGTAATTTATCCATTTAAAAAGATATACGTGCTATATATCCAAAGCGTTGTTTTTTCTAATAGTGGATATTTCATCTTGAGCGAAATTTCGAAAACACGAAAAAGCACGAGTTGTTGCACGTAATAGAGGAATATGGGTAGGAATTTGACAAGATGATATGCCAGGCCAAACAGATGGTGGAAAATTAGTACGATATTTTCCTTTAACTATTTGTTTTTCAAAATTTATCGGCCAATGCAACTCACAAAGTACTGTGTCATTAGTTACTTTCAAGTTTGCATTTGGAATTACTTTAATCCACATTTGTTTTTTTCCTTCATTTTTAGGAATATTTAAAAAAATATTCTGAAAGCTTTAAACTATCAGATTTCTTTTTTGCAGATAAATAATTTATTGTGCTGGCATAAATGCAACATTTTTTACCCATATTTTAATATCACTAAATAAAATCAAAACGGCGAATAAAGTTAAGCGAAATATTTTATAGGCCCAGTCAGATGCGCGGTTCGCACGTTGGCAAGGCCTGCAGTATAGATCGCCGTGATATATATATATATATATATATATATATAT